TGCAGCTTATCCATGATGGCACATCAATGCGAGCTGAGACAAGAATGCTTGCTGTGTCTATCAGCGTAGTGTTCAGAGACTGGAGGCACTACCAGGAGACAGGCCAATTCACTTGGTGACATGGAGGAGACCATAAGAGGGCAACAACCCAGCAGCAGGACTGATACCTCTGCCTTTGTGTAAGGACGCCCTGGCAGGAGCACTGCCAGAGTCACAGCAGGCCTGTGCATATCTTTGCACAAACGGTAACAAACCAACTCCATGAGGATGGTATGAGGGCCCCACGTCTGGAGACAGGGGTTGTGCTCACAGCCCAACACCTTGCTTAGCATTTGCCAGAAAACACTAGGACAGTCACATTTGCCACTGTCACCCTGTGCTCTTCACAGATAACACAGGTTACCCCAGGCTCACACAGACTCCGGTCTTACCGTTGCGGTGCGGTGTGTGCGGCGCCGCAAGGATTCCAAGTCATTAAAAAGACGTAAACCTCTCTCACCGGCTGCTGAGCTGTCCGGCTGCGGTTACCGAGACACTCCGGCGCTGCAGAAAATTCCGCAAGAAAGCTATCCTTGCGGCGTGCCGGAGCCCTCCGCAACAAGCTCTCGCAAATATCCTTATTTGGGCCGTGTTATCGCGTGAACTTACGTGAACTCAAGTGAACTTCTGTTAAATCTCCGGACCTGTTGCCGGAGCCGCAGAGCCGCACCGCACCGTAGTCAAAAGGGCGGTGTGAGAGGGGGTGTGCGGGAGTTGCGGTCTCCGTCGGCTCGGTAACTGCACCGGAGCCAGTGTGAGCAAGGGGTTATCACTGAGCACACATCATAGACATGACAGTCTAGAGAAATTGTGGAGAGCAATCTGCTGCCTGCAACATTCTTCAGCATGACCGGTTTGGCAGAGGGTCAGTAATGGTGTGGGGTGACATTTCTTCGGAGGACTGCACAGCCCTCCATGTGCTTGCTAGAGGTGGCATGATTGCTATTAGGTACCGAGATGAGATCCTCAGACCCCTTGTGAGACCATATGTTGGTGCGGATGGCCCTGGGTTCCTCCTTATGCAGGACAATGCTACACCTCATGTGGCTGGAGTGTTTCAGCAGTTCCTGCAAGATGAAGGCATGGAAACTATGGACTGGCCCGCCCGTTCCCCTGGCCATCGTGTCTCGATCCATCCACCAATGTTATGCTGCACTTCATATTGTCCAGGAGTTGGAGGATGCTTTGGTCCAGGTCTGGGAGGAGATCCCTTTAGACACCATCTGCCACCTAATCAGGAGCATGTGCCGGCAATGTAGGGAGATCATACAGGCACAAGGAGGCCACACACAATACTGAGTCTCATTTTGACCTGTTTTAAGGGCATTACATCAAAGTTGGACGAGCCTGTAGTGTGTATTTCCACTTTAATTTTGTGTTCGATTCCAAATCCAGGCCTCCATTAGTTAATAAATTTGATTTTTATTGATCATTTTTGTTTGATTTTGTTTTCAGCACATTTAAATTTGTACAGAACAAAGTATTCAATGAGAATATTTTGTTCATTCAGTTCATAACGAAGTATTTCTACTTCATTACTTGACACCTCTGTCCAAAACTAACATAGGGATCTTTGGAAACAAGGCCATTATGAGCAGTGTTAATTGTATTAAAATGAATGGTAGGATTATGAGAGTTTGAATAAAAAAAATCTCAAAATATTTTCTAGCATCTTCCATAGCCTTTTGATTAAACTGTTCTCTCAGTGCCTCAAAAGAGAGTAATTTATCTTTTCTCAACTTTAGTTCATTTTTCAACTATTTGTCTAATGGACCTGTTATGGTAAGTTAACCAAGGCTCTAATCTGGGTTTTGATTGTCTGGATTTAATCGGTCAAACCAAATTAAAAATAGCACTTCACTAAAGAGTAAAATATTTTTCTAAAATCTCAGTTGAGGAACACCCTGTGGACTGCAAATCAAATAACTAAAAACAGCAGAGAAATGAGAAGCAACAGAAGTATTACTAACTCGGCAGCCGGCACACAGGGTTTAATCAAATGATTAAGAGGAAAACAAAAAAAATTCATATAAAACAGGCATGTAATCCTAGAACAGTGAATCATAGATTTTCAAATCAAACCATAAGACAAAACAAGGTCTAAAGCATGCACACTGTCATGGATTGTGCTGTTCACTGATTAAATCAGGCCAAACCTGTTCAATAAATAAAAAAAATAATAAAATAAAGTCCTTCCCCACAGTCTTGACAGGGCAGCACATATAAATATTAAAATCTCCAACACTTAAAGGTTGCTCATACATTGGGGTAATTCACCAAAGAAGTCAGAAAATAAAATTCATGTAGAGGGTATATGTACTTTAGTGTGTGATAGACTGCGCACAACATTGGAGTTAATTGTCCCCAGACTCAGTTCAAATCTGGAGAATGTTGTTGAGAACGCTACCTGTTTACATTCAAAATTTGATTTAAAAAATGTTGCCAAACCTCCCCCATATTCTACGAAACTCTGTGAATAAAAATATGAGCAGCCATGAGGCACATCCACTGGTGGAGCCAGAACATTTTCCGAGGGGTGGACAGGCAGGGACCAATTTGCACTGAGAGGAGGCTGAAAACAGATAAGGCACCTAAACCAGTCTGTCTGCACTAACTACATTGTACAAACAGGAAGATGATGGGAAGAGAATCTGAATTTCCAACTAAATTAAAGAAAACAAAATAGATTTTCATGAAAACTTTGCTACAAATGGCCTACAAATATACATTTAGCAATCTAATCTCTAATTACAGAAGACTCCTAGATCACTGCAGAGATATTGCTTCCTCTTCTCCACAATATAATAACCTATTTATGAAAAGATAAAAAAAATATTTTTGGTTGTCATCTTAAAAGTTACTATATTAATGTAAATAATGAATTACATTATTGCTGTTATTTTATGATTAGTATACTAAAAATTTAAATGTCAAGTTGGTTAGAGTCTAACCAACCAAAGGATAGAGGCATTGGTACTCTTAAGTGAAATGGTCTAACCGTTAGACCATTTCACTTAAAAGTACCAATGCCCCTATCCTTTGTTTTAAAAGGGAACTGCTTGTTCCCGAGTCAGCAAATTAGTCCATGTGAAATAATATAATATATAAACTTTTGAGTTGGACTCCCTAACATGTCAATGTTTTAATTGAAATTTTATTGTAAGTGCATATTTGGCTTTTAGGTGTGTGTGTTTGTACGTATGTAATGATGTGATGTAATTTTGATGCCTATCTTGGCGAGGTCTCCCTTGCAAAAGAGATTTTTAATCTCAATGGGTATTACCTGGTTAAATAAAGGATAAATAAAAAAAAGAATAATAATAAATGATATAATGAATAAAGATTGCTACAAATTCCAGGAGTTGGTGGCTCACTAACGAAAATGTATATGAGCAGGGTGCAGGAAGCCTGGCATCGGATCCAAGCCACTTATAAGTACAATACGGGAAATGATGGGGTCCAAGTAGTGCCAAAATACAAAGCCTTGAGTAAATGATCCAAATTGTTTGGATGGATGGATGGATGGATGGATGGATGGATGGATGGATGGATGGATGGATGGATGGATGGATGGATGGATGGATGGATGGATG